CAGTGAGGTTTCTCTGGCCCTATCTGGGCTTACCACTCATTGCATGTTCAAATGGAAATTTCTAGCCTCTCTATTAAAATTTTAACCTCTGTAGTGTGGTCCAAGTGACTAAGAGCCTAGAATATGGGGCTAGACGGCCTGAGCTCCAATCCTGGTGGCAGGTAGCTTTGGGCAAGCTGCTTAATTCTCCTAGTCTCAGTTTCATCTCTAAAATGGGGGAACTGTACAAATGGTAAGGCTGAGCATAGCTCAGCATGAGAATGGGGAGCTCCTGGGAGCTGCAGACAAGGCACACAAGTTCATTTTCTGTTGCTATTAACACAATACTACAGGGTGGTTGGGTTTTTTGAAAAAGAGCTTATTAATCTCACAAGTCTGGAGGTTCCAGAGCTCGAATCTGGTGATGGTCTTCTTGCCGGCAGAGTCCCAAGGCAGCATCGGGCACCACGTGGCAAGAAACAGGAGCACATGTCTCTTCTGGTTTCTCCCCCTCTTACAAAGCCACCAGGATTCAGTCATGGGGCTCACCCCAATGACCTTATCCAACCCTATTCACCTCCTAAAGTTCCCATCTCTAAATACCGTAGTCGGATCAAGTTTTTGTCTCATCACAGGTTACTCCAGAGGCACCTGCACACCCATGTTTATTGCAGCACTATTCACATAGCCAAGTTATGGAAACAGCCAAGATGCCCCACTACTGATGAATGGATTAAGAAAATGTGGTATCTATACACAATGGAATTTTATGCAGCCATGAAGAAGAACGAAATGTTATCATTCGCTGGTAAATGGATGGAATTGGAGAACATCATTCTGAGTGAGGTTAGCCTGGCCCAAAAGACCAAAAATCATATGTTCTTCCTCATATGTGGACATTAGATCAAGGGCAAACACAACAAGGGCATTGGACTTTGAGCACATGAAAAAAGCTTTAGCACACAAGGGAGGGGTGAGGATAGGTAAGACACCTAAAAAATTAGTTAGCATTTGTTGCCCTTAACACAGAGAAACTAAAGCAGATACCTTAAAGCAACTGAGGCCAATAGGAAAAGGGGACCAGGAACTAGAGAAAAGGTTAGATCAAAAAGAATTAACCTAGAAGGTAACACACACGCACAGGAAATCAATGTGAGTCAACTCCCTGTATAGCTATCCTTATCTCAACCAGCAAAAACCCTTGTTCCTTCCTATTATGGCTTATACTCTTTCTACAAAAAATTAGAAATAAGGGCAAAATAGTTTCTGCTGGGTAGTGAGGGGGTGGGGGCAGAAGGAGGGGGGCGGAGTGGGTGGTAAGGGAGGGGGTGGGGGCAGGGGGGAGAAATGACCCAAGCCTTGTATGCACATATGAATAATAAAAAAAAAAGTTTTTGTCTCATAATACCTCCCAATAGAGACCAAATTTCAACATGTGAAGCCTTAAGGGACAAAAACCACATCCAAACCATAGCACCAGGGCGTACACACACCCACCTCAGGTTTTTCTCCACAGACCTTGACTGGTACACGCACACACATATACAAATATTGGGCACAGAGTGGGAGATCAGAGATACCTTCCTGCAGGAGCACAGGTGTGTGGGGGGGGTGAAGGGAGGTGGCAGCCACTGTGGCAGGAAATGCACAAAGCTCACCCTGACTTCCCATCCCCCAAAGAAGGTAGAAGCTTCTAGAAAAAGGGCAGCAAACACTGTTGGTCTCAGGGTACAGGTAAAGACCTCTGAGGCGTGGAAGGAAAAGGAAGTACCTTCATTCCGTGGCTGTGGGGACAGGAGGTTGTCCCAGTGCCATGAGAGGGCTGCTCCTCCAGGAGAAGAGTGGATGGAAAAACCTCTGTCTCTGGGACCAAGAACACAGGGTCTGCCTCAGACTGAGACGGAGCAGGGTAATAGACCTCCCTCTGCTCCACACTGTTAACAGGAGTTAACATTGAGGGGAGAAGGCCCTCTGCGGCAGAGGCTCATGGGAAAGGGGTAAAACAGGAACCTTGGACTCCAATTGTCACCCAAGAGCACAGTAGAACTAGAGGAATTTCAGGCCAGTGGTGCACTGAAGGTAAACAGGCAACAAACCCCAAATTTAACTCGATTCATAACTAAATGGACTGAACCCCTTGCACCAAAGGGCCAGCAGAGGGAAGATGTGCTCATTTTCAGATATAGAGTCTTTGCTGTTCCACACATGACTGGCATTCAATCAACAAAAAAAAGATACACCAAAAAACAAATAAAAACAACCCACTGTCAAGAGACAAATCAAAGAACCAGACTCTGGCAGACCACATGCATGGATAGATGAGGAATTTCAGCAGACATGGAAACTAGGAGAGTCGAATGGAAATGCTAGACACACAGCTGTGGTGAGAGAGAATATGTCTTTGGCGGACTCCTTAGTATACTCAACACAGCTCAAGAAGCAGTGGACTTGAATTGACAGGAATTTTCCAAACTGAATCACAAAGAGAAAATGGAGTCAAGACAAAACAACAGGGCTATGGGACAATGTCACACAGTTTGAAGATAGAATGGCCAGTTTGTTTAAATGAAAAATATCAAGCTTGTAGATTTGAGAATTCTGTAAATCTCAGAGAACCCCAAGAAGGACAAAAAACAAAACCAATCTAACTCTTAAACACATCACATTCAAACTGCTGAAAAGGTAGGATGAGTTTTAGAAAGGTACAAAGGTGCACATTACAGAGGGGCAAAGATAGGAATTGCAGCAGGGGTAGAGTTAAGTAATTGTTGAGCAGCTGCAGTGGACGAGCTGTGTGGTCAACAAAGCCTGAGATACTTACCACCTGGTCCTTTACAGAAAAAACCTTCTGAGCCCTGTGCTCGAGATGGAGGCAGAGGAGGAGACCGGGGTACAATGGCACAGTAATACAGGTGAGAAATGACAGAGAACACAAAGAGGCCATGACATGGCTAGAATCAGGATATATTCTGGGGTAAAACCAATACAACATGTAAATTGGCAGTGTTTAAAGTTGCAGATTTTCTTTCTAGCAGAGGAAACTTTTTTTTTTTTTTTTTGGTGGTATGGTGTTTGAACTCAGGGTCTCACACGTGCTAGGCAGGGGCTCTACCACCTGAGCCATTCACCCAGTCCTTTTTTTTGTGCTGGGAATTTTTTGGATACAGTCTTGTGAACTATTTCCCCAGGTTTGTTTTGAACTGTGATCCTCCTGATCTCTGCCTCCCAAGTAGCTAGGATTAAAGGCATGATCCACAGGTGCCCAGCGAGCACCCGGTGTTTTTAGCACCTTAGTTCTAGTAGCATCCTACATCCAGAACCAAATTCAAAAACTACAGACCTAAAGAATAGAACCACCCACATCTCCCAGATGAGCCTCAGCATCCAAGGATGCATCTCTAAGCACATGACTATGGTGTTCCTTGGCCAGCACCAGCATGTCACAGCAGGGACAGGGGTTTCCTGCCAACCTTGTTTGAGAAAGGAAGCTGCTCCCAGTAGGCGTGGTGGTGAGCAAAACAGTGAGGCCGAGATGTAGGCTGGCTGGAACTCGGTGAGTGCCTCGGGCAGGTATTTTTTAGATGCCAACGTGTTGATAAGAGTCAGCCTCCTTTGTGCATTGGATTTGACTCCCAAAGCTTATTCTGAAGTCCTAACTCTCAGTGCTTCAGAATGTCGAAGGACAGAGTCATTATAGAGAAGTTACAATGATGTCATCAGGGTGAGTCCTAATCTAATATGATTGATGTTTTTATAAAAGGGACATTTGGACCCAGAGACACAGATAGAGGGAAGACAGGGTGAAGACATGAGGGAATGGTCACCAGCAAGCCAGGAGAGACCAAGGAAGTTTCCTGACTACACAACCTCAGAAAGAGCCAATTCTGCTAACACCTCGACCTCAGAGTTCTGCCTCAACACTGTGGATGGCAACTTTCTGTCACTGGAGCCACCCAGTTCCTGTGTGCAGCCTGTTGGCCCAGGGATGATGGGAAGAGGCACATTCAATGGAGCACCAAGCTCCTGTCTACACCTCCCAAAGTGTGCTGTGTGTCTTTTGGGATGGGTAATATTGCAAGGTGATCCCTGGTGGTACAGGATGAACAGTCTCAATGAATACAATTGTGGCTTACCTTGCTGTGCAAATCCTTCTAAGAACAACAGTTAAGTGCCTTAAGGTTTAAATGCTACTAAAAATGTAGTTTTAAATGCCAATAAAAATGGGTGCATTCAGACTGGGGCTGTGGCTCAAGTGGTAGAGCACCTGCCCAGCAAGCTCAAGGCCCTGAGTTCAAACCCCAGTACTGGAAAAAAAAAAAAAGGTGCAAATGAACATCATTCTTTCAGAAAGACTTCAGCTGGAGCTGCCCTCTTCCTGTTCACCACAACCACAACACACATACATATATATGTGTATACATGTGCCACATACACACGTGCTTCATGTCCTCCCACCGTCCCACGGAAGGACATTTCTATTTGCCAGACAAGCAAAGACACTCCACAAATACACACCACCCTGGCCCACTTCTACCTCTCTGCGACCATTCTTCCGTGTTTCTGTTTCTCCTTAAATGAAGAGGTTAGTGTGCACCCGGCTGTAGCTGACCCAGTCCAGGTTCACAAGCTCTCTGAGGAGAGGCCAGTGTGCAGGCGACCCACATCTATGTTGAAGTCTGAGAAAAGGGAGGCCAGGTCCCCACCAGAGGGAAAACTCCAGCCTGAAAAGGAACAAGTAGTTTATTCTGCAGGAGAAGGTGCTCTGGGCGCTGTGACCACAGGCACGGGCAACTTTACTGCATGTGTCTAAGTGCTCTACAGTTCGCACTGGGAATGAGATAGTGACCAGCTTCAGGCTGGGCACCTCTCCTTGTCCCTCTGTCCTCCCACTCTGCCTCACCTTCCTCTCTCATCTCTCTTCCTCATCCCTCCTGTCTCTATCTCCCCGAGTCATCTCTCTCTTCTTTCTTACACTCTCTCCGCATCTCCCTCCTCTCATTTGGTGTCCCCATCCCTGGCTTTCACGCGCCAGGGCCAGCGTCCTGGGCGGGCGCGCACACGACTCTAAGGCCTTCGTCGGGGGCGCGCGCACATGGCTGTGGGCTTGTGCCGGTGAGGTCCGTGGTCTCGCCCGCACTCTCCTGGGTGGGTGGCCTGCGCTCCGGGAAGCAGAAGCTGCAAGTCTCCACTGGCTCGGGCAACGCGCCCGCAGCGCTGCCAGCTTCCATGGAGGAGTCTGCAGGGACAAGGGAGGGCGTTGGCACGTACCCTCCACCAGGCTGACCCCACCCACACTTCAGAAGTTTCTTGGATCCTGGTGACTTAGGATCACCCCGGACCACCCGCGCTGGAGCAGGCTTTCAAATCCGGGTTCTCGCATCTGCCCGCGCCCCCAAACCAGCCATCCCCCAACCCGCCCCAGGGTGACTGCCCCTCTCTGTCTTAGCCCCAAGAGCCCTGCGTTCTGGGAAGCTGAAGTCGGCCACCCTACACCCACCCTACCACACCTCTCCCGGCAAAACGCTGTCCAGGTAGAAACAGGAGCGGTGGGGTTGGGAGTAGGAGTGGGGGGATGGCCCACGAATGTGTGACATGCAGTGAGGAGGATCCCGCACTCACCGTGGGAGGCTTTGGCTGGTGGTCTGCGCGGCCCTGTAGGGGTTGACTGGAGAGCGGATCCCCCTTCCTCTTGAAGAAGCAGGCCACCGCCACCAGGAAGCAGCAGAGTATGGCACAGAGGCAGAGCCCCAGAGTGCTGTAGACCAGGACCAGCTGGTCAGCGCTCAACTTGGGTCCTAGAGGTGCTGCAAAACAGGTTAAGACCCCCGAATTCAGAAGGGGCACCCATTCTCCAGGTTTCTTCTCTCAAGTGTGTCCTCCTTTAGGCCAGCAGCCAGCCACCCCTACTCCCTCCATTCCAGGTACCCCCAGGTCCCCTCCCTGCCCTGATGGTCTTTCTTTTCCTGTCATTGGGGCCAGGCAATCCACAAGGAAGCTCAGTTTCCAGCCCCTGCCTGCTGCAGGCCTGCCTGGCTCCTGAGGAGGTGGCATACTTTCTGGATCGGGAGGAAACTGACCCATTTCTGCCCCATACTTGTAGCAATTTCTTTGAAACCTCAAAGCTGGATACCCCTGGAGCTGGCTCTCGGTGTGGTCTCCACTTGCTAGGGATGCAGACTGGGGCAATCACAGAGATGGATGGATGAGCATGTGGATAATAGCTCCATCTGTTCTAAACCCAGTGCCTCCGCCAAGGTGGGTGAGCTTATACTTTGAAAGCAGGGCCAGAGAGATGACTCAAGAGTCTGGGGGGCAGATGTGAACCAGGAGGACCCTGAGAAATGGGGCACAGGTCACTCTATAGCTCAAGACTTGATCTTTTGTTTGGATGCCAGGGGAAGACCCAGCCCAAGGCCAAAGACCTCCCCTTGACATTTCTCTTTATCCCACACTATTCCTGGTCCCTGGAAATGAGGTACCCCCTGGGGTAGAAGGACAGATAAGGCAGACTTATGTAAGATGCCTACAGTATGCTCACTGCTGATAGGGACCATTACCTGAGCCTGTTCTGGGTGCCAGGCATTTTCTGCAGAGCATCTTCCTTAATTCTCCAGCTACAATGGAGGATGCTTACGTCATTTATAAGTTGAGCCGTAACTGGTATATCGTCAAATCCCCCACACTAAAGTGCGGATTTTAGTGGCTCTTAGCCTATTCATGGGCTACTGAACCATCTCCACTGTCTGATTTGAGACATTTTATCACCCACAAACAATCCTCTGTCCCATTAGCAGTCACTGCCACCCTCTTCCCTCAGCCTCTGATGACCACTCATCTGCTCTGTCTCTGGGGTCAGCCTGCACTGGACATTTCATATAGTGGATCTTGCACTATGGGACTGTCTAGGTCTGGCTTCTTTCACTCAGCATCATGTTTTTAAGGTTCAATCCAAACAGCGCCATGTACAGAACTTCGCTTCTTTGTATGGCTGACTAATATCCTGTTATGTTCTGTTTGTTTATATGCTGCTCAGTTGATGGCCTTTGGGTTACCATCACCTTTTCCGTGTGAATAACACTGCTGGGAGCACACATTAAGCAAGTCTTTTTCAGCTCTCCTGGTTGTCTAAGAGAAGGGTTACTGGGACACAGGACAACTCTTCAGTATTTTAAGGATCTGCCTGACTACTTTCCACAGTGCCCCCACCATCTTACATTCCATGTAACAGATGACAAAACTAAGTTTCAAAGTCATACTGTTCCTAGTCTTACACCTGAAACTAGGAACAAGTCTGAGGGACCCAAAGGTGCATGGGGCCAGCATGCCAGACAGATGGCACTGCCCTCATCCTTACATTCGCTCTTAGATTCAGGAGTTTACAAAATGATGGATGGCTGAGATTCTTAGTGGCCCTCCTGGTGTCACTTGGCATTTAGAGAGGGAGATGGGGTTTTGGGAGCTGATGTGCACTGGGGCCTGTGATGTTATCCTTCACGTCCCATGCTCAAAGGTTAGAGAGTGAGGATGTGGAAGCAGAGCCCCAGCGGGGCACACCCCCAGTGTTAGCCTGGGGTTCTCAGGAGGTGGCGCTATGTGAAGAGCTGTCCCCCCTCCATCCCCACTCCCACAGTCCTCTGGAATAAAACAAAGATGCCATTCTGGCTAGTCAATGGAGAAGTGGCCAGTAGCCTTTCCAGTGCAGATGGAATGCCAACTACAGACCATCACTGAGCAGGAATGGACTGCCAAGTTGATTCCAGGATGAAAACTAGACAGTCACAATTTCTGATGTTTTCAGCATGAGATTCAAACACCCACAACGACACTCTGACCACACTGTGATAAGAAGTTATCAGACGGTCCCCAAAAGATTGGCTACAGACACCATGTCCTGGTGGAATTCCTCTCCTTCAGTGCTGGGCTGGGACTCATTTGTCCAGGAAAACAACACAGTGGTGTGTTAGGCTGGCTCTGACCCTATACCTGAAGGCCTGGCAACCTTGGCTTTTCCTGTTTTGGAATCCTGAGCAGCATGTGAAAAGTCCAGCTGGAAAGGCCACATGCACAGGGACAGCAGATGTAGGGGGGTAAGGCACTGCCTCGCAGCATCAGAGTCAGGCCTCCGAAGGCTTCACACCAGCACCCCCTGCCTATGGCCTCTGAGACCCCAAGTGAGAAACAACACAAAACCTGCCCAGTCCCCCTATACTGTGAGAGACAGTTAAAACATCTGTGATTTTTAGAGCTTTAAGTTTTAGGTGGCTTGTGCATGCCACACTGGATGACCAACCCAGAGTCCCTCTGCTCTTGAGTGAAGGACTTCCCCTCACTTTCTTCATTCTTCTCTGTCCAGACTTATTGATTTGAGGTTTCCTGTGGGCAGTGGAGACCTACCAATAAGACATGCTTTCCAAAAATCCCTGGACTAAGGAGAGAAATGCAAATTAAAGCTACAAAAAAACCAAAAAAAAAACCCATGTCATTTCTTCCTGCCACAAAAGGCTGTGGGAAAGCAGGCTCCTCACACATTGTTGGTGGGGTCACCCTTTGGAGGGCTACTTAGAACCACCCTCTGCTATTTAGAATGTGCCTTTCTGATTCCTGTTGACGTCATTGTCATGTCTATGTGTTCCCCACATATACACAGGTGTCATTGCAACACTCTCCACAATACCCAAAGTCTTGAGGCAACCTGGGCACATCAGTAGGCCTAAACTGTGTGGTATCCACAAGATGAATAATACTACACAACCACTAAAGTGAATGAGGCGACCTATGTGTCCTGAGATGCAGCAATCACCAAGGACGTGAAGTGACACAGTGAGGTGGACCCTCTGGGTGCCACTATGGAGTAACCCAGGCTGGGAAATGTGAACATGCCTCATATAAGATTACATGTGGAAGGACAAGAAGGAACTGGGAGGCCAAGAGCAGGTTGGAGATTCCCCCGCCCCCCAAAAAAAACCATTAAAAATATTCTTGAAAAAAATGACATATATGTGTCATCTACTCAAAACAGAAGAATACCTATTGCTCTGGGTGTCCATACTTCTTTTTTTTTTTTTTTTTTTTCTGTGCTGGGATGGAACCCGAGCCTCATGATGCTGGCGTGGGTGTACCACTGGCCACAGTCCAGCCCCACACTTCTAAAAAGCCATGGTTAAGAGTGACAGGGAAGGATGGGAGAGGCCACAGAGCAGGTGTTCAGCTGCTCTCAGGGCCACTAACAAAAAAAGCTGCCTGTGTGGGCTCATTAGCTGTTCTGACAGCAGCAATGGCTGGGACTTTCCTTGGGGCAGGAGCAGTCTGCACTGACTCAGTGGGGATACACTTGTCACTTCTCTGCCCATTTATTCACAAAGGTCACTCTGTCCACAACCTGAAACCAAGCCTGGCCCCCACGCAATGGAAATCTTTGCTCTGTGATTTTACTTTGCTGATCCCCAGGGCGAGGAGTTCAGTTACAAGCAAGCTGTCAGGAAAAAGGATGCAAGTTTCTGTGTCTTTGTGTGAAATAGCAAGTCCGTGAAGATGGCCCCTGAGGTGCGTAGCCAGGTACAGCCACCGGCATTGCACATAGCTTCTGAACTTGGGAAACCAGCCAGGCACCAGACAGAGTTTATTTCTAAGCCATTATTTGTTTTTCTCTTTTGTCTTTTCTGTTTTGTTTTTAAAAAACTGTTTTAAAGTTATCTCTCAGATAAAATTAGATTCCCCCAACCCTTGCCCAGCTCAGGGTCAGGCTGTACAGCTCAGCAACACTAAAATTTGCCATTTAGGGACTCTTTGTGGCTCAGCAATCCTGGGCCAGTGAGATAATAGATGAAGATACACAGGGGCTGTGAGGCCTGGGTGGAACTTCCAGCAAGTCTCAAATATCCCTGTGCCTCTAAGCTCACCTAGCAAGAGGAATTTGTTAATGAGAAGGGGTCTGGGAGAGAGAGGTGGCTGGAGGCTGCCAGGCAAAGCTGTGAGTGCCCAGCTTTGGGGCTTTGGGCTCCCCTCCCTCACAGAAGCCCACAGAAGCTTATGATGGAGCTCCCATCATGGGGTGCTCCACTCGGTTCTTGTCTCTGTCCTGCCCTCAGCTTTCTCTGCTTCCTCCATGTTCTACATGTATTGGTGATGCTTGGCCGATGTCTGCGATGACAAGGGTTACCATGTATGCTGACGCCTCACTGTTAGGTCACAGGCCTCCAAATGCACACCTCTGTGGGCCTGCCCCACAGAGAACCATGTCCTGTGTGTATGCGTGTGTTCAGGAACAGTGGAGGTCTCACATTGTGGTGTGTAGACTTTCCAGAATGGAACTCCCCTGTTCCCCCACCTCCCTCACTGGACCTGAAGTCCCCAAGTCTTTCTGGGGCACATTTCCTGAATGGAATCTTGGTCCTACTGGAGGAAGTAGTCAACCATGTCAGAGGGACCATGGACTTCAGACAAGATGCCTGCCTGGTGCAGATAGGGTCCTTGGGGCAGGTCTGTTCTGTCCACATTTGTATCTTGTGGATTAGGTTCACATAGACCAGAGGACATTAGGGACTAGTCTGAGAGGGAAGGGCAGAGGAACGGTCCTGGCTTCTTGGCCTTGGGTATAATAAGAGAGCTTCCTGGCCTGCAAGGTGGGGGCCCCCCTACCCGGACCGGAGCTGCCAAGAACAACCTTCATCCGGGGCAAATGGCCTCCCTGGCCAGAGGGGCATTTGTAGACATTTTATGGCCACCCTT